AAAGAACAAGTTTGCTAGCATCAGAAAATCATGCTGCTTATTGAAAATTCCAAAGCACGCATATATGCCCCAGTTGAGTGCAATCGAGACACGAAAAATGAGAATTGAGATGGGCCACCATTGCCCTTATTCAAGTAAACGTTTTCGTGCAAACATGAAAAGTGATACTAATGTATACACAAGCAGACGAGAAAAAAAAACCAATTGAAAATTCAGGGACCAATGTTTATCGCATGAGCAGCGCTACGTATCGTCTGATTAGCCTAAACATTCCGAAAATATCTTGCAAAAACAATCAAACGCTCGTCCTCAATTCAACACCAGACTAATGGCCATCATTTATTGCGAGTAGATAGCATCAGTCAGATAATTAATGCCAGTTTGAACTAGGAATCAACGGGTTTCTTTCGATGGAAGACCATGGCTGTAAGGACAAAGGATTGTGCGCGGGCAAGTGAAGAGGGAAGATGATTCCTTCAGGAGCTCGAAAACCGATGAAAACTTTATGCCTAGCGTCAGTCTGTATCATTAAGGAGTCATGGTTACGGGTGACATCGAAATACCAAAGATGAAAGCAAAAATCTATTTCGATTTGTACCTTGATCCCTATAGATGAGCAACCACTCGTCCTCTTTCAAATCATCTGATCTGTACGCCTTCCGAACAAGATCTTCGTCGAAATTTTCTTTTTCGCTCTGCAAATTACGGTTATAGACATTCAATGGGTGCACACCTATCCCGACGAGAGATGTGTTATGGTTATGCATAAATGATAGGCCTTTCTCGCCAGCAGGCATGCACCGGTTTCGTGCAAAGACGGAGGCGGTTTCAAATTGCAAGTGGTTGCCTGTGGTGCAGTGATATGGAGGCGTCCTAATGTTTCATACGAAACCACAACTCAAGGGAACTGAAACTATTGTTCAAAATCATGTATATGACTCCGTCCCAGCTATTTCTGATAACAATGCAGTCATCCAGGACTAATTCTCGAGTGGTGAGCGTATAACATGCCGCGCCCCAGCTTCACACTATACGCCCACTTGCGGCCGTCGCAGAGAAAAAAAAAACGCCTGAGAAGAATTGCTTGGCATAATAATTGCAAAATAATTTGATCGGTTTGAACCACTGCTCCTCACAGAAAATCACCATTAAATATTTCTTATCAAACTTCTGACGCGCCCAAATGCAAATGAGAACGATGAGGAAATGAAAATATGCTTCAATAAAAAAGCAGTTCCACTGGGATAGTCGAAGAAACAAATTCTCACCTGAGTCAAGAATCCTTTCACCTTTTTCCAAGCATTTCTCCAAACTGATGAAGAATTATTCGTTAAGCTAATGTTACGTCGATGTACTAGCCATGATAATCGTTGAGCACATCGTGCAACCAACATATAAGTTTGTCTCACACAAGAAATCTGAAGTATTTTGATTATAACGATTGCATCAGACCGATAAAAAGCGAGACGGGGCGGTGAACAAAACAACAGGAGGTGGAAGAGAACGGGCATACATTCCAGAACAGGTCGTGAACTTCAAGAAAAGGTGACTTTCTCACGCAGAAGAACCTAAAAAATCCTCGATCTTGGTGAATATCATGATAAAGTTCAACACCATTCGAAATCATGTTTAAATTGTAAACATGATAGAGTTACTAGGACGCAAAGCATAGTTATTTTGAGAACCTTCTCCTCCCTAAGGAATCCTTCACAATCACTTTCCCTAGATCACCAATTCCTTTGCTTCCGAAACTCCCTTTTCAATTCTCTGAAGTCGGCTATCTCTCCCCACAACCTAATGAAACAGTACATCGAAGATAACTCGTCTTTCTACCGTAGTCTTGGTGTTATGTCTCGGCGACTGAAAACTACCAGACATGATGAACAGTGATCTCTTAGCCAGAAAATGATTCGACCGATACCTTTGCATAAACCGGTTAAACAAAGAAAAAAAAACAGCACAGCCACTGCAGAGTTTTCGAATTGAACACATGTTGCAGAAAAAGAGAACGTTAAGTCAGGGAAGTTTGGAAGAAAGGGGAAATAGAATAAAACAAACCGAATGAAAAGAATAACATTTAAACAAAACCGCCACTAAGTTTAGTAATTCTCGAATCCTTCACAGTACCGGAATCAGAAGAAGTTCTAAAGCTGGTTCGAGATGTTGTATAAGCTTGAAGAAACCACTATGATTTTCGTCCCAAAGTCGTGTCTTCCCAATAAAAACTCTCGAATCTTACAACAGCCCCTAACAATTCTGATTACTGAGTCGATGTGGTAATGCAAAATGACACAATTTTCTAATGCGAGCAATAGCCCAATGGTTCAAATGCCCAAGAAAACCCCAAAAGTTATTTTAGTGACCGTCTCAGTCAGTCAAAAAATAAAACTCAACTGCTTGCCCTCCACATATTTCTTCAGTCAGGTGCACCGAATACAAAATTAGACCAAATCATCCCCAATTCAACTTCACAGCTGGCTCCTTTTTTCTCCGCTGATCAAAGTCCAGAAATAGTGAACAGTCCACACCGAATCATTGAAACCATTACTATAAATCTCAATTAATCATTGAATTGAGTATGCACCGGAAGCCGGGCATAAAGCCCAAGAAATTTTTCAGGAGTTACGGAGGATGGACTCGTATCTTGTGACAAAAGCCCACCCATGACAAGTAAACAATCTCAGGAACAAGCTTGTGACTAGAGAAAAACATTAATCGTAAATAAAATAGTTGCCGTTGCACGCAAAGCGCACTGCGTATGCGGTTGCATTGTAGCGCGCAATCTATGTCGCAAGCTCTGTCACTCAATTATTCCATTTCTGCAGTGCCTGACTGCATACGTCACTTTCCCTTTCGAAAACGAGTTCTCATAGTCAAGCAGTTGCTCAGTACCCTTTTTGGTTATGTAGTCCTCGCACTTCACGGATTTTGAGACACCAGACAGTCAGAAGAATACCGGTACCCATACAGCGCACTAGCGGAGGATATTGGTTAAGCTCATGGATTGGTGCGTGGCATGAGCCTGGAGCTTCACGGCCAGGTACTAGAATGGCTAGATGTATTAAAATTAGCACAAATTTATACCGACTACCTGTTACTTGTTGTTCTTTTCGAATTTTCTTGAGTATTCGCTGACACTTACTCCTTTTCTCTTCATGCTACTAGAACGTATGTACACTATGTGTTCAGTTATTGAAAAGGAACAAGGGATAATCTTGATCAACCTCGTCGATGGATGCGCCCCGCATTCGGCTTCTATTCAAAATCGCACCGGCGTAATGAATGACCTAGACAATGACTTGCGCTGCCCAGCCGATGTGCAACTCAATACTCTTAACCTCTCTCCTCCTTTTTTGTGTTCTCATTTGAGAAGATGTCTTTTGATGGAGCTCCGAAGTCAATTGCAGCTTTTTTAAACTTTTCTCAGAGAGATTCTATTTTGGATGAGCCGCCTTCTACTTCTATTAGGATTTGCATGAGCATTTGAAAGAGTGGTATGAGACACAAATAGAGAGTTATAGAAACCAATTAATGTTCACATCAGCAAGATTAACGTCAGTGTATCAGTATTAAGTTGGTATCAAAGATTTCCCAGGTAGCACTTCCCGGACGCACATAGTAGTGACACAACACAAGAGTTTTGGATCCTCTCTTTGTTCATGAACTGAATAAATAGCTTTCGAAAATGGTTCCAGTAACTGATGTTAATGGCAGAGCAGCTGAACCCAACAATGTTTAACATCAGCAGACCCTTACAAGTCTTTGTATCGACTGCAAATGAATATCTCTTCGAAGTAATCTTTATTTTTCAAGTTATTATGAATTTAGCAACCCAAGTTCATGAATTACCCAAAAAAATTCAGAACAAAAGCACGAAAGGCGGTGATGTGCAAGATGCGCTTTAACACAAACGCACGGTTCAGGAATAGGATCCCGGATGGATACCCGCCTAGACGAAAAAGTTTATCGTCCGTCCGGGGTCGGTTACTTTGTAAGAGACCGCCTGGGAGGATTAGAGCACTGATTTGCAAGGCGGTCATCTCAAGCCATTGCATAGGCTACAAACCTATCCATACGCCACTGCGATTCGGATTTTAATTCGAGTACGGGGCGCATCCCAAGATAACTATTGATTACATCGAAATCTCTGCCTTTATCGAACTGATGGTAATGACTAATACTTCTCAGCAAATTACAGTTTATTCTAAAATCACGTCTTTCATCTTCAGGATTCTTTCTGCATTTACGGCCATTTGCCCGTAGGGGAAGGGTAAGGGAAGCGCTTTCTCTGGAGAATACCATCTGTTTGGCATTTTGTTTTCTGCCGAAAGTTATGATGTGGTAAATAACGTCACTTGTTCACATCCGGGTTGAGGTGCCGTAGCTCATGCCACATTTCGTTCTCTGCCGTGTCTTTAACCCCTCCGCTTTCAAGTGGAGAGCGTCATTCTCACTAGGAGAACCCTTGTTCGAGTGGTTTCAGCTTACAATTTACTCATTTCACACCTCTCAAAGTCAAACTATACTAGTGTTCCTTTCCTTTTCCGCTCTCATCCCATCGCTAGGAAGAATTCATGTGGTCACGTAACCCTGGAAACAAGACAGGCAAAACTCCATGGCCATCAGACGTGCTGCTCGGTTATTTCCATTGCGGGTTGTGTCCACACAATAACTGCTGCCACCTGACCTTTTTACTCATCGTTTTTGAATGCATGGCGCAATATATCGTTAAAGCAACGTTCTTCACTGAGAATTTAGCTCATTACTAAAAATAACTCGGCAATCAGCTGAATATCGGTAAGGAACAGCGAAGACCTCGACGGGGATGGCCTTGGAGGGGACCACTCCATTGAGCCCTGCGTCTCTCATGGAAAGGGCATCAAAGCAAGGGCGATCGCCGACTGAAACAGCTTCAGGAACGACAAAGGAAAATTTTATGAAAGGAGTGGTCTCTTTTGTCTAACCTTAGGACTAGGTAATGGGCTCCTCACTGGTCCTGACCACGTTAGAAAAGCCATTACCACTAGCAGAACACAAATATAATAGCGGAAGGACTCAAAAAAGGACATTTACCAATTTGAGTGACAACTGCATTTCATTTTCTTGCAGGACTAGTACGAGAATGAGCGGAACAGGAACAAAAATTTAGTACAAACTCAAATTCCTACTGTAATCCCGTTGATGCTGCATACTTCTGAGCAACCAATCCTTGCTATTTTATGAGACATCGTGTCCAACTGGCGAAAAGCAGTTGTTGTGTAATGGGAACGGAAACTCAGGATGAGAACTTGATTCCTACAGTGATTGAGGCCTGGATTCCTACTCGTGCAAATGCTCATAGCGCAACACATCTCCCCTTCTACCCACTCCCACGTTCGTCTTCTTTTTCAAAGTAACTCTTCGATGCGCCATGTATGAGACGGATTGAGAATTTGTGCGTTCAAATGATGTTATGCCAGAGCAAAGAAAGAGAACAATGTGAAAGAGAGCATGTGCCTGTGGAAGTCGACGGTCACTGCATTTTATGTTCAGGCCTCTGAAGACGACGATTGGGTCGAAACGTTAGGCCGTTTGACGGAATAAATTGTTCCACCTAAAAACCTCGTGTGGCACAAGATAATGGTAGGAACTACGGTAGGAACTTGAACCGTGATGATAAACAGTGGAGATGTGTCTCCCATTCACGAACTCCTCTTCCATTCTAACTTTCCGGATAAGGTCAGCTTCGCTCTCACCCAGGTGCTATTCTTCTGTTTATCTTAGGCTGAAAACTTTATACCTTTGGCATAGAACTATTTCCAAGTAAACGCAGAGCACAGTAAAATGGCCCCTTTCAACTACATTTTCATCTGGTAACCTTTGAGCTAGTTTTAGCTGCTTACTTGGGCAACGGAACGAATACTAACGAACAATAGTTGTTGTTGTTTGTGTAATTCACCACACAGCTGCGTTTGCCGCTTTTAAGCTGCTCGAATCACAATTTTAGCCGTCGTGCACAGAATCTTCTGGCTTCCGTCAAGCAGGCTCCAACAAACCGGTTCCTCTCACTTCCTAATCAGTGGGTGTAGCTTGGAAATGAGATCGTATTTAGTACCATCATGCATAGTATTATAGTATCTTTCTAGAGCATCGTAAATATTCTAGGTAGCCTTGTTTTTAAAGAAACCAATCAGTTTCTGAATAATTTTTTCACACAATCGTGCCAAAAACCCATTTTTTTTTGAAGTTCTACTACTACACATCCTAAAATTCCAGAAATCAACCCACAACGCTGTGGAATATCTCAAAAATCCATTTCTTTTTTGGAAACTGGCATTTTAATCACTAGGTCGATTAATCATTTTTGTTTTCCATTTTTTTTTCATTCCATTTTGGTGAAGGTGATTTTTTCAAACTGTGAAATAAGGGACACAACTCGTTTTTCAGAATTTAGGTAAAACTTGTGAATTTTACTCTTTTTGATTAACCGTTTTTTGCTCGATCGTGTTATTAAATGTTTTCCAAAGTTGTATATTGCCCTCATTGTTGTTTTGAGCACTTTAGCTTAGTATAAATTGAACTGATGTATTTCAATGTCTTTTTGTGGTATAAAGTTTCAATTATTTCTGGAAAATTGCCAAAAAAAAAACTACTCAATCCGAAGGCAATAAGTGAAACATTCAAAGATGCAGGTAAACTTCTACGCGACTGTGTTGTTTACAGTGCTAGGGGTTACAGTAACTTTGTAAAGGCTCACTATGACAGTGTAGTAAATAACTGCGATCGAGATATCGGACGAACCAGTTCCACGCATTTCGGAACTTTTTTTTTTCATTTCAGATGCCTTTACGTATAGATGACAGCGAAGAAGCATGTGTTGCTAAGAATTCGATTCCTTTTAAAGCGGCCTATCTCAGGAAAGTCTACTTCATATTATCATTCCAACAGCTTACTATTGCTGCCGGTTAGTTTGATTTATGTTGTACTAGCTATCTGTAATTGCCGCTAGACTATCTACAAAGTAGTGCGAAAAAAAAACTGCCAATGATTCTGGCGTAGTCCAAATCTCGCACCTCAAATTTTTGGAATCGAAACGGAAAAAACCTCTACGGAATCGAAACTTATTGTGTCAAGCATTCAGCCTTGAAGCACTTTCGTGCACACCTCATTTCAGCGCTTCACATCATAAAACGACTAAAGGTGAATTCCTATACGGTAAACCGATTGGGATATCATGGAACCTGATATTTTGAGCGAAAAAGTGTGAATAGTGTCCTTTTATGGTACCTCTTGGAAGCTTCTAGCAGTTCCTGGGACAGTTCTAGACCATGGGAAATGTCAGGCAGACTATTTTTAAGAAAACCTAAAGATTAGATGCACTAGCATATCACAAATCCAACTGTACCTATCGTATTTTGATAGATTTGTAGTGACGTAGAAATGCAGTAAAAAAATAATTGATCTGGCAGATTTATGTTTTTTGTTTTTCAGTTTCGTTTGCGCTTTTCATGACTCCAGGTGTACGTCCATTTGTTCAGCATTACAGTTCGACCACGTGGCTTATTATGCTGTTTTTTATAATCAGGTAAACGAGCACTATTTTTTTTTTACTGTTCCTTACACTCTCTAGGCATCTTCTTTGAAACATGCTCTTCACTATAAAGAGGGGGTCAACTTATCCATTTTTTTACTGAGTACACCGAAGCACTTTCTACTTGTCGCCCGCATTGAGCAATAGCTCCACGTTTTCTGACATTTTACGACCACTGCCTACCATGTCGGGGGGCTCCACAGGTCCTCAGGCTTCAGTGTTAGTTTCTATTATAGGCGGCAAATCTTCTTATCCTCTAGATTGTTTGTAATCACACAAGGGAAATTGTTAACTTCTACGATCCTGTGAATACTATTTTTACAGAGTTAACGAGTAAATCGAAAAGTAAAAATATTGTCATTGTTACAGTGTTTTATGTCTACGACAAGCTACATTTTACTCATCACAACTTCTTGGTGCTGCATTGTTATTATTCTCAATAGCTGCAGCTCTGGTGTTTGGAGGTGAGCAGCTTTGTTGTTTAAATATCGTCGATTTCAATTACAAAACCGATCTGATTGTGAACTAGTATTTGCTTGAATGTTTAAATTTTTGTTAGGACTTGTCATTATTGCGCCCTTAAAAGGTTAGCGAACATTCAAAATATGCCAGTTTATTGTTAATTGTCGTCTCGATTTCCCCTTTCCCCTGTGTTTCAGTGATAAGATGCAGGAGAATCAGGTAGTTCTGTGGGTAAATAAACTTGTGGGGCACTGGTATTGGAAAGATAGTAAATAATGAAATCTAGGAAAGATAATGATGTCCAAAGTTTCTGAATGGGTACGTGGAGAAGTCATTATTCGAATCCGATACTAACTTTTACTTTCCACATGTTTAAAATAGAAATTTCTACTAGTATTGAATGACAAAAAGGTCTCGACCTTCTGCTTCTGCTATGAGAAGCCCTTGTGAAATAAGCCTACCGCGACATCAACTCTTCATTAGCTGTTTCTCTGAGAAGCTTCCAAACTAGTTGGTTTGAAGCAAATTTCTTCATACCACGATCTCACTACTGATTTTATATCATAATTACACCGCGGGCACATTTGTTTACTTTTTTGATAACAAGTGATAGCCACAGGGCATCATGGTGTTTTGGCAGTACACCCATGTTATTGAATGCTTTCATTCATGAAAACAATCGTCGAAATGATTTATGACCATCCTGGGGGAATCCATCTAGATTACTAGGAACCTGGCTCCTACTGAGTGCGATGCTTCGCTTCAGAGTATTCTATTCCTTAAAAATACTAGCACCCTGAGTAGGTACTGTGCAATGGCAATATTACTTACCAAGAAATCATCAATCAAGAAGTTAATTCAATCCTATTTATCGAACAACTAATAAAGAATAATCAAGAACTTCGTTCCGATAAGCATGTATATCATATCTGACTTCACATCGATCTCCTATACTTTGGTACATATTGTAATCAAATTGAGACATTGACAGGATGAAAATCACCAGTACTATAGCTTACGAAGAAATAATGTTACATATGTAACGTTAACCCGAGAAATAGAATAGTCATTCAATACAATTAAGATGATCCTGATGAAGAAAGTGGTGGTATATCGGTTTGATTCATAAGCCACGCTGTGAGAACCGTATTAACGTCGATCTCTTCGGGAGGAGGAGGCGACTCATCCATCCTAACTTCGTTACCCTCCACATGCTCCTCCTCCCTCTTACAGGTCTTGTTTTTGAGACTGATGTTATAGCGTTTTTTGAAGTTGGCAAGCCAACGTTCGGAAAAAAGACACCGTGACGATTTCACCGTGTCTTCCGCACCTGCGTACAACTCAGCGGCCAAGTCACGAGCTTGTTCTTGTAGCCACCTATTTGAAATACGTTCACCGGCTTCTTGTTTTTGAATGAAGCGGTCGTAAAGCAGTCGTTCAACATCAGGAAACTGAGCTTTTCGACCACGCCGTCCCACTCCGACGTCTCTTTTTGAGAGTTGGGGAAACTTCTCATAAAAGGCTTGAATGGGAAGTTGCTCTGTCTGGTTAACTATCTCGGCAACAACCTCGTTGCGGAAGCCAACATCCAGTTCTACAGGATCGATGAAAGAGTCTGTATCCGAAAATGTAAGTTTCTCAGTTTTAACGAGATCATAAGGATTCGACGGATCACTATCCAAACTTCCGCGTTGAAGATCTATGTGGAAACGCTTTTTGAAATTCCTCAACCATCGATCCGAAAACTGACAGATAGAGTTGACGTCTCCGGCCAACTCTCGAGCTCTATCTCTCAGCCAACGATTGCTCACTCTGAGACCGGTCTCCAAACGTTTGCGATACAGCGCGAACAACTGCCTTTCAATATCAGGGCGTCGTCCAGTTCTGCCAGATTTTAACGATCCAGGTCGAGATTCACGGATTTTGTCCACCTAAAAGACGTACTGCGAGTTAACCACAGACTGTAAATTAAGAGAATTTCGTATATATTTAAACTTCTTCATTGAAAACTGTCATTCTATATTTGCAATATGAAATAAGCGCTAGTAGTGCCAGTGCCGTGTCATTATTTATCAATAACATTCCTTACTCCCTCACTTATTTTCTATCAGCTTCAGAATGCTTTCACATTTTCACATGCACTGACTTTCGCATATTGTACACCAGTTGGGCTATGAATGCTTATGCATATGCATTGTATGTCCACTACTGCTCATCTGGACCTAAAACTTCTGCAGGTACTTTATCAGGGGTTATCGAATTCCCGTGCAAACAGACAGACAGACGCGAGCGCTTTATTTATGGTAGCGAAAGTAATGGTATAATTAGTAATGGTGTATTAGTGAGTAATGGTTACCAGTGGGTAATATCCTACTGTTTTCATGGCTTTTTCGTGGTTTTCAGGTCCTCCACCTCGTGGGTCCGTGAAAAAGAGACGTCGAGATGACAAGATGGGAAGGATTGGGGTTACCAAAGATTTAAAAGTTAGAAGGGAACCTTCCCTTCAATTCTGAGTAGAACTAATGGGGTAATGAATTATGTAGGAATATGTGCTTGTACCCTCCCAGAAACCAGTAACTGTCAGAATATGCACCTAAAAAAAAACTCAAACACATCTGGGCTTAAAGAACGGGCGTTAACCGACGTTCCCTGTTTTTTATCAGCACTGCTTCGATCGTTGTCGAACTGATCAATAAGAAGAGGAATACCACCCATAAAGGGGAGCCGTTTCGGGGTCGCATTTTACGACAACGCCTTGATAGCGTGTCCAGAGGTGTGAGATAGCCCATAGACATCTTAACAATAGGTGTTATGACTGTAGCGACAATGCTGTGATATCAAGGGTAATTGAAATTAGGTAACAAAGAAATATGAGTTGATGAGAGGTAATAGGGCGTCCTTGCTGGCTTTTAGGCTAATTTAGTAAAGTCGTAGAACTCCAAAGATGAAAATTGCCTCACACTCACTCACTCACATACTGCCGTGCCCTAATAGGTAGAAGATTAGAAATCGTCTGCACTTTAAGAGTCCACTGAGCGATATTCTGGGTGCCCTCTTCCCCGAGGAATCCCGAAGTATAATTCTGAGCGTGTCAGTTTTTTAATATAACAAAGATAATGACAGGATGCTGCTGCTCAGGTATGAAAAAAGGCTGGCTCAGCTTTACAACAGGCTGCCAACGTAAAATACTGCATTCCTAGAAATACACGGAAATCAGACGATGAAGTTGGGAAGCAAATGGCAATGTTTACCCATTTTGGCAAAAACTAGCAAGGATTAATTTCAGCGCTCATACATCTAAGCGATATTGATGTCCCTAAATGGGTATGAAATAGGAGCCGCGCTCTCATAAACCCACAACGGTCTCGCGATGACATGCCATTACGACAGCTAATTACCACCATAACTACCCACAACCGTTAAAGGCGAAAGTTTAGTAAATTTGATAACTTAAGCATCGAAAATTTGTGGTTTTCAATTAGGATTTATTGGATTCGCTAGAGGGCTAAAGCAGTGAATAGAGATCCCCTCTACCACATGCAGTCGTACTTATTTGTTTACTTCCTCTTGCTGAGCAGTAAATGCTTGTTTATGCTATCTAAAAGGTCCTAGCATGTAAGACACCTCTATAAAACTTCACTTGTTATGTCTTTTGAACGAATCCTCTGAAGATATTTGACTAATCGGGTGGTTATGAGACCCAGCCAACCGGATGATTTGCAATTGACACCGTTGTGCTTGCTATTTATTTGTTATTTAATATTAACTACAAAAATAACCTCAATAACCCCGACAGGAGACAGGGACAGGGTTATTAACCACTAAAATAGCTATAGAAACTCTAGGTTAAATACAGAACTGAAGTCGTTGTAGATTTAGTGGTGGCTTTGCGGTTGACGCTAGCGATTGTGGTTAGTTTTTAGATTAGCTATGTGTCAATTTGTCTGTGTGAAAGCATTGATTCCATGGAACTAGTCAAAAAGCCAAAACCCTTTGGATAGAGTGTAAGTGGGCATTCGTTCCAAAGGGATTGGGACACATTACAGAGTCATGATGATTTAGAGATTAATTTGGCTAATAGTGACGAGTATTCTGCCGTAAAGCAGTGTTAATTGCAAATCATCCGGCTGGATGAGCCTCATAACCATCCGATTAGTCAAATATCATAAGAGGATTCGAGTTAAAGACATAGCAAATTCAGATAGTTTCTATAGAAATGGGGAAATCAACACAGATCTTCTACAAAACCACAAATGCTTTACAATGATGCTACAAAGTACAGTTAAATGTAAGGTTTACGGTATAATTCAAGTATAAAGATTTATAAAAAGTGACAGATTTCTATAAAACAATAGAATATGATAAATAAACGTACCCTGGATAGCCATCCTTTGAGCATAGATTTGGTAATATGAAATTCTTTGCAAGTACGATACTTGTTCTGGCCATTTCTTTGGTAATAATCAATAACCATCAGTTTGAATTCCCGAGAATACGACATCCGATTATTCCCCGGTGTAGCAATCCATTCTCCATTTCCATTAGAAGTGCAGCTCGATAGAAGAGCCAGAGAATCAGCAGCACTGATTTCAAACTTGCTATTGTCGTCTGAAATCGACTGTTCCGATTGTTCAGGATGTTCTAGGTTGATGGTCTCCACAGAATCTTCTTCCTTAAGCTGAAGTGATGGAGCCAAGCTCAATGTTGGGCAATCAGGTGCAGGTGATGATGGGAAATTGGGACTTGAAAGCGCATCGTTCTGATCGCTGACGGACTCAGGAGCGCCCGCGTTATAGATCGTTTCGCAGGCTCGGATAAATTGCACAGCAGCCTGTTCAAGTGAGCGAAAATAGTTGGGGTCCATCAGTGGATGTGGGGGGAATGGGAAAGGTGCGGGAGGAATGGAGGTCGTTCCACTCGGCGAGGGGCGCAATCGTAGTGAAAGGTCACGTCTAGACAGCCAGAGTCCAGGGTGCGAAGAGGGAGTAATCTGCGCCACGGGGTCGTATTAAGAGCTTGAGAACGTGGGGTCGTAAAGGGCAGAGACGCAGAGGGTCTTACGGCGGCGGGGAGGGGGGAGGCGGCCGGATGACACAGCAGCCCCCCCCCCCTATCTCTCACCCACCTCCACGCTCTCACATTCCCCTGTGTTATGGAGGGGAAGTAGGGGGGATGGGGAAGAAGAGGGCGGTAACTTTAAAGTGTACAAAACAATAAGTCGGCTTTTAGTCAACTTGGAACTGGCTGTACTCTTATACTACTCAGGACAGGTCAATCACAACTGGGAAAATTGTTCTCATTCATGTAAAAGAGATCAAGAACCGGTTCCGGACCGATTTTCGTTAGACAACTGTTCGTTCGTTCATCGTGCGGCGTAGGTCGATCGTCCTCGATAGCGCCCCTCACATCGCTGGGCGTCCAAGACCCCCCTATTGATTCTCCGGTGGCGCCCCCTCCACTGCCTCTTACTTCTCCCCACACTACCCGTGGCACAGAGGGATAATCCCCACTTGTAAGTCGTAGAAGAAGAAAAGAAGAGGAATACAGTATGACTTCGGAATGGGGTAAAGGAGGGAATGTCTATTTGGAATGAAAAATGGGATCTCGTGCGAAGTCGCAATTTGTTCCACAATGTTAATTTGTGTGCTATGTTGATTGTCAGGAAAATTACAGCGATACTAATTGATCACAGTAGTATGATGGCACTTTGGGTATAGTCAAAAAGGCTCCCGGAAATCCCATAGTGTGCCTCAGGCGCACTTTGCTGGTGCAGGTGTTGCTTTCTTCTTGCTCCTTCCTCGTAGGATGGAGGCTAAGTCGGTGGAAAAAGGTGGCTGTCGTGGCTCTATACGGTGTGAACTAACTTAGCAACCAGGTGATAGACTGGGTTCTTTCACGGAGGGGTTCCAGGGAGAGTGAGGAAGCTGTCACGTGGGAAAATTCGAATGTGCTGCAAGATCACGTAGTGCTAGCAATAGAACGGCCAATACAATAAGAAAACTGAGCCTAGAAAGATTTCAGATCGACATGGAACTTGGTATGAATGCTGTATTGATAGAGTCTGGGATGTTGACTACAAGTGCAAATGACCCAAAACTGCTATTTGAATCTCCCAAACAAGTTGTGGGCGGGTCCAAGTTTGTTTGAAGTACAGTACTGTCCGAAAATCAAGTACGATCGGAATTACACCATTTCAGTAGACGCAAGAAATGTCAATTATGGTTGTTGTTAGGGGCTTTGATCGAAGGTAAGGATAAAAGGATAAAGTTTTTGGCGTTAATCAATCCCGTCTGAGGGATGCGCCCCCGCACTCGACTTCCATTCAGAATCGTAGTGCCGTAATGAGTGCGTATGTGGCCTATACAAAGACTTGCGGTGGCTACCGATGTACAAGTCAGTGCTTTTATCATCGCAGGCCAGACTTGTACCAGTTCACCGACCCCGGAGGGATGGAAGGCTTGGTTGGCCTAGGCGGGCATTGGTCCGGTAATCGAACCCCTGACCGTGCGTGTGAGATAATACCCACTTGCCCCTACACCACCTCCACGCTTTGATCGAAGTTAGAGCGTAAAATGCAGAAACTATCATGTCCTTGAGTAACGAACCTGTGAGCTACAGCCTGGGAAGCCTAAGAGGTAAATTTCGCTGAAGAGATCCAGTTCCGAGCTTTTGACATTGATTTGAAGTCGATTGGCTAATGTTTCGGCAGTAATCACCTCCTTCAGAGACTTCGATGGAGGTCGATTTAAGGGAGATACTTCCTGGTAGGTCCTTTTATGATCTGGGATTCAGGAACCTCGGGCTCGACCCTTGCTTCTAATACTATTTCGAGTTACAATTGCCCTCTGAGTTTTATTGGTAAACTGCCACAATTGGCTACCACTAGGGGGAGGTAGCGAAATGTGAACTGCTTAGTTGTACGGTGGTCATGTGTGAAGGGGGTGTAGCTGATTTACGCGAATGGCCCTTGAACCTTTGACAGGGAGATTAATGATCCAATCAATTCATATCGTTTCACTTAGGCCATTTCATCGCAGTGGAACGACTTCCAGTTTGCTTTCTCCATGAGTTTGAAGTGGAGAACGCGTTGCCACGACGGTCATGTTTCAAGTGCTATCTATTACGAATCCCTTGGACGGAGTCGCTGCCGCATTACCTGCCTGTATTCAACAAGGGAGCGCGAAAAGGGGAATTATTGCCTATAGTTTTCGTCCCTTCTACTGAGAACCTCTAGACTACTGACTAGTTTTTTGAAATATGAGGAATATGCCCTCAGAGGTCGGAGGTGGTGTGGTGGTAAGTAGCGCACGATCACACAGGCATGTCACGGGTTCGAATGTCGAACCGATATCCGCCTAAGTCAATCGTGCCTTCCATCCCTCCGAGGTCGTTTAATTGGTACCAGACTTGTCTGGGAGGATAAAAGCACTGACTTGTACATCGGTTGGCCACCGCAAGTCATTGTATAGGTCACATATGCACTTTTCACGCCATTACGATTCTGAATGGGAGTGTGGGGCGTGTCCCTTAGACCAGATTGATTAACACCAGAAACTTTATCCTTTATCTTTTATGTCCTCAGAGGAGTATACTCACTAAGTGTGTGGGTTGCATTTGGTCCGGGAAAAGGCTTGGAGAAGTCATCTGTGAGAAAGTGATGTTCATACATGTGACCGGCGTGGGTGAAATTTTTTGTCAAAATGGAATTTTGGAATATGCTGGAGGTGATGCTCCAATTTTGGACCTAAAGCCTCGTCCCATGAGGAATTATCGCTTCTTTGTGATCTTTTTAGGAGTGTGCAGCACCAATAAAGGAATGCAACTTCCATAGTTGTTGCAAGCAGTGGTGATGTGTAGCATGACATCTTATGGTTCAGCAGGGATCCTCACCTTTCCTGCTCATACCGTCGTTCCCCACAGTTTTTGCAGCAGTCCATCTGGGTTTGCTTCGTCTTTAAGCATTGGATAGTCGATGGCCGATAACTGAGTTACCACTAAAATGATTTCTTGGCTTGAGCTTTTAATTGAGCATAACAGTGAAAAATAATGTTCTCATGTCGACTGACTACAGTGGTATACGATGGCTCGGCTATAATACGAAATCTCAGGACAGAGGAGTGTGTGGCGTATACCATCGATCGATAGTCAAGGACAGGGGTTCACTTTTGAAGTTTACTCTTTCAGTGTTAACCGCAAAATTCGACACAGAAGTTGTGTACACAGTGACAACGATGAATGGTGGCGTTTTTCTGGGACATGCCATCTATTGTCTTCAGACTTTACGATCTCTACGATTCCAACCTTCACTAATAGCTACAGTTTGTCTTGCTACAATACAAGCGTGGATTCTGGAATCACTACTGGAAGTTGCTAGCTTTGACTATTTTCTATGTATCCTTTTATGTGGCTTTTTCTGCTCGTATGTTCATTGGAATATTTTTTGTTATATGAAATTTCTAACTCGGAATGAGGTTCTTCTAGCTTGTAGTCATGTATACATTTTGTTTCCTAAAATGCATTACGTTGCTCTTACTCATTAACCCACTTCATTCGTAACGTTCGTGCTTTAATATGGATATTGATTTTGCGCGTGTGCAATCGATACTCCTTTCATAAGCGAGCTTTGATAAGGTTGTTGGAAGGGGACTTTTAGTTACTAATTTGTAAAATGTGTAGTGGTTCTTGTCCTTGGTGCACTGTTCATGTTTCCAAGCCCTTCTGAAAACTCTCAATAACATTTTTTACCTTTTACCTGTTCGATCCTCAAGGCGATCGCCGTTTGTGTGGTTGTACGACAGTAATTCCGGTGGTTATTGATTGGCTACAGAAAACCTGGCGAGGAAAACCAGGTTCCGCCTACTATGGTTTGTAGATGCATTGATTGCTTCGGCGCGTTACTCTGAAAGAACCTCTCTTTTTGACAGTTTCGCGACCGCACGCGTCTCGTTTCGTCTTTTCGTACCTCCGGTGAATTATGAGCATTTCAGTGAGAGCTTTTTAATCGTTTTTAGTATTTATTGTGTATGTTTTCATTCGATCTCTAGTTGTAACTCTTATATGTAAACTGTTAGTGTATAAGTGTTTGTATGGGTAACGATAGTCATGACGTGAATCTACCTCTTGTGCAATGACGCGTGAATAAAGTTTCTTTCATCGCATTGTGATTCAGAGTGTTTGAATATTTTACGGAGTGATTGGTCCTAGGAGATTCGATCTTCTAGGCAAAGCACGGTACGCGAAGGTGGTAGGGATCTATCGGTGCCCAGAAAGCACAAGTACGGGTTCGAGTCCCGTCCGAGACTGAAGTTTTGTCCATATCTCGCCAACCTTGTGAGACTTTCGCATCACGTTTTGTGGCGAAATAACAGCAGTTAACAAAACATCAAGTCGAACAAACATTACATTGGCGACTTCATGCCTTGGCTCGAACAACGTTGCCATTGCTCTGTTAGAGAATAAGGTTTCGAAGTATAGATCCTCCTTAGTTTGTGCCATGTACAGGGAAAGATATGTGAGACTTATGCTCGACTACTATCAATAAGGCTCGAAATAAAGCGGTTATTGGCATATGCCTCGACGGATTCATTTTCGTCTGAGTCTTTGTAGATCTACGAGATGAGCTCACAGTCAAGCCATTGCAATAACTATTTAACTGCACTTTCTCGAAAAGCCTTCGATGGTCCTAATTGTTAGAAACCGGTTTTTTTTTTCATAAACCGGCTGAAGTTGGGATAGCCGTGGTAAGGAGAAGGAGCAGAAGAGTATGAGAGTAGGGCAAGAACGTAGAAATCGAAGCTTTGTACTTCGGACCAGTTACCTCTCGAACTTTAATTGGGACCATCGAATCAACGAATCCCGTATTTG